GACGCACATGTGCGAACATCTACGCACAACAAGGAAGAATTTTACTAGCGCGACGACTTTCGCATAAAGTTTTTTTCCCGGAAAAATATGTTATCGTATTTAATTACTTATATTTATCGAACAGACATGAAGCAGACGTTTTAAAATAGTAATTTAAGCGCAGTTCAAGATATGCTGGAATTCAGCATATTTAAGATGTATTTTTATAGGATTTAATAAGATAATTAATTTTTTTCAAGTAAATATTATTGGAGAGGTAATCAATTACTTGCTGAATTGAATAATTTTGAACCTGGACGTGCTACAATCTGGTCGACGTATCTTATTGAGAATGATGCTCCTGTGAAAACGATCTGGTGGGTTTCTGAGGACTCGGAAAGCCCTCAGGAGATCTCCCTTCAATGTGTGTTAAGGTCTGTGTTGTTTTTTACATACATGCTCGACTTTTTCGCTAGATTTCATTCAGCGTTATGTTTTAATGTTGGACCCTTGCACCAATCAAACTCACGAAAAATAAAAGAATTTTCTAAGCAACAATACAATATACTTCAAAACTGCTAGTTAACTTTTCCCACTGATGGAGTAAAAAAAGGCTTCTCCTTTATATATAAGAACTAGATATGTTTGCAACATGCACAGTAAAGGCTTCAACGGGTTTACTGATGTTCGATCGACGTATAAATGATCCGAAACGTTAATTTTTGATGAAAAAACCCAAAAATGGGTTATTTCATCCAGCATAGGTTTTCGCTCAGTTTTTGCGCTTTATTCTGGAAACTAACATTACCACGATCAGCAGCAGGGTGGTCGATTACCTATGTTCCTGATGTTTTTGAAATTCTCAGACGAGTCTAGAGCGATACAGCTGCGTTTTCGGAAAACGCCTGTATCCACGGAAGTCAAGGAAACGAAGGCCAGAGAGCGATGTGCTGGCTATCAACTGATGTTATTTGAGTTCGGATTCCATTTTGTGTTCAGAAAGCGATGAGCTTCCGGATTATGTGTCGAATGGTACACTATGGTAAACCTAATTGATAGATCTGACTTCTTCGTAGATTTACAGCCCAAAGTGTCTACTTTCAGAATCTAAAAACCGCAGATCTCTATCACCTTTCGTTCAAAAGTTATTCGAAAAACATCGGAGTTCTTTCTATTTTGAAACAGATAGTAATGAGTTGCCATTATATAGTTATCGTATCAGTCTGTTTTTAGGACTTTTACGAAAAATTCCATAACTTTTCAAGGAACGAAGTTCTAGTGAAAATGTTTCCGGAATCCTCTTAAGTATGCCGCCGCTACCTACTGTGCAAGTATGTACAAAAAACTCAGACATTGATTGAGCAAGTTATGTGAGAAACGGCTGTCTCTACCGTGCAATGACTGTTAGACGCAAGTGTGCTAGCCGATAGCAGCAGACTTTTCAATCATTGCATTCATAAATATTTAATGCAGGCCAGCTTTCCGATCCACATTCATATCTTTGACATGTTTTTATTGATAAAAGGATTGACCATATCTTATACATTTTAAATAATATCCCAACTATAATTAAAACAAAAGAAAATAATCATTAGTTTAAGGAAAATATTTGCAGTTGATTGGATATTTTACATTTAAGAGTAAATTACATTTATAAAAAGATTCTTGCTCAAAAAATGAGTTTATTTTGACCAAACTGATTCATTAAGTACAAGTGCCACATACAGGAGCTTGACATTCACCACTAGCATCACACCTAGCACATACACATGCTCTGCAACCTTGTAATCCACATGAAAAGCCTTGTGCAAATCCACACGAGCATCCATCAATAGTTGATATAAGACATAAAATTGATAATAATACCAATAAGAGATAGAATAATCGTTTCAACATGATTGTTTTCTACCTAGGCGCTTTCCGATTGAGTTAACAGAAAACCGAATAATATGAAGTTCAAATATATTATGTCTATAATAAATGACGAACAATAGCGAATAAAATATATGAAAATATTGTACTCTAATTTATACTATATAGGAACAAAAAAGAATAATATTTGTACATCTGAATCTAGTATTATATGTCATTCTTATAAACTACGTAAAAAGTATATTTACAGATTTGCCCTCACTGATTCGAAACCTTTGTGTAGTTCATGTAATATTTTCTAATCATGGATTTAAATCTGCAAATATTTTTTTGCCTTGTTTCTTTAGAATTTGGAAACTGGAGTCCACAAAGGTTTCAAATCAGTGAGAGTAAATCTGTAAATATACTTTTTACGTAGTTTATAAGAATGACATCCCAGGTAAGCGAAAGACGGGTGGAATGACTAGTCTTTTTTCCTAGTCCGGACGACCGTCCCGACTAGTCCAAACAAACAAAAACGACCCGGTCATGACTAGTCCAAAATTTTAACCGTTAATTAAAAGAAAGCCGTTCGGAGTAGTATCGCTGACTAGTCTACCAAGCTATATATTGACCACGTCTGGACGATTCAGTCCCGATTCGTCGACACTCACTCTCACACCGCCCCTCCCGCCTTTGAAATTCTTTGATGTATATTCTTTGAAGTGTCCGATTTGTCGACGAATCGGGACGATACCCGTCTGGACTAGTCTAGATGAGAGAAAGATAGAGAAATAGGTTAGAAGCGAACATGCGACACTTTGTTTTACATACCTGCGATTGAACCAACTGAGCCATTGCGCCATCAGTTTATGCACGCCAGGTTTTAGTGTGCGTGAAGAACATTTCGCTGAAGCTATGAATTTAGGTCTTCGTTGCAACCTTACTATAACTTCTGAATAAATAGTTCTGAGAAAGAAAACTTTTTTTAAGAATTTTAGTCCATGGTTGCATGGTTGAGCCAAGGAGAAAGTTTTCAAAAAAATTCTTTGCTCAAAAATCCCGGTAATATGCATCGTTCAAGTCAGTTCAGGCAATGCTCGTTTCTGAAAAATAATTCCAGAATTAGCATTAATTATCACTTATTAATTATAATCTAGTACGTTAAAAAAATAATTGTAAAATTTTCTATTATGAAACTATGACCATAGATCATTGTCTCTCAAAGTATGCAATAATGACGCTTCTACAATTATTTTTGATTGAACTGCAAGCTCTCCAAAAGAGCGACCAACAGTTCAATTAGAAGTTAACACAAATTCCATGGACAAAAAAAAGTGTCCATGTAGGCCTCTATCAAAAATAACGCGCGGGAACCGTTTAGCAGCCGTAGTAAGTATATAAGAAACAGAAATTTCAAAAAAACTTTCTATTTTCTATTTCAGATTATCTTTTTCTTTCTTTGTTTTAGATTCACGACTCGTCGCAGTGTAAACTTTGACTTGAGTAAATTTTCTTCCAGGAAGCCTTTTTGCGCTTTGAGCACTAAATAAATAAAAGAAAACAAAGCTTGAAAATAGTTTCGAACTCCTGTCGTACGAATTCGTAATGAGCAAAATAACCGCGCGGTAACCGCAGTTTCAAGAAAATACCGCACGGTAACGGCGGTGAGGTTTTTGCGTTTACATAGCGGTAACCTCACGGTGTATCGGCGGTACTGAGCACATGGGGAGCGAACTATAGCAGAAATACGACAAAAGTTTTATGACCCGACTATAATTATCGTAGACTACTCTATTGATTCGACTACATGATATCACAAGAAAATATCCAAAACAGAAACGATCTTTATGCAACGCCAAAAAACGAAGGAATGCGTTTTATAAAACGAGTATCGTGTTATTTGCATGTCTCATTCATATCTACTAGTCTTGGTAGTTTTTCATTCACTTTTTTTTCATCCCATAACCACGTTTAGCGGAGAAAATAGTTTTGAAGTCGTTCTGATGTTTTCTGAGTGAATAGTTAATTTTTTAACATGAGGTAAAAAATAACTTATTTATAATTTTATAGTAATATTATGGTTACATAGTACGAAACTCATGCCCCCCTTCCGTCGGCGCCTGCAACGTAAATTAGATAATCTTGTCTCTTTAAGGTCATCTTTAGCCTAATCCTAATAATTGATCATAGGCGAAAAGTTATGTCTGAGAAGTTTTCCAACTTCATAAAATTTCAGTATGGGTAAAACCGCTAAAGAGTTCTCTTGAAACCCTCTGAAGATCTTCAGACATCCGACCCTAGTCCACTTTCCCTGGCAAAATTCCCAAGATGTCCCTGAAAAAACTCCTCAGGGAGTTTAGAGGGAGTTCTCAAAAACAAATAAATGCTGAATTCGACTCTTGCGCTCAATTTTAAGCGTAACTTAGCTTTTTTTCATCGATCAAATTGAAATTTATTGTATACAAGAAAAACCTCCACCTTCTTTCCAAAATTCTTTCTCACCTGAGCCGCTCAGTGAGCCTCGTCCATAGCTCCTCTAGTTTGCTAAAAAAAACTGATATGTGACTAGTTAGTGTGTAGGAGTAGTTTCAGCAATTGGGCGACAAAAATTGGAATTAGACCAGACCACATTTATTTACCATGCAATTTTTTCTAAGAAACAGCCTGGAAATGTTCTTATATACAATTTTCTCAGTTCATCGATTACAAACATCGCAACTCCAAATCCTAATGCTGGCATAGCATATTTCACTGGGACTGGTTGGGTTTTGAATGCAGTATCGAACCATGGTATTTGTGTTATAACAATACAAACAGATGCCGACAAGGTCATACTTAATATCACCCATAGGTGTCTTTTTTTTTCTTTTTTTTTTGGTCCATCCCAAAATGGATTATGTGTACACCATGATGAATATCTTGTTCTCGTTGACATATAATAAAATATTGCATAATACATAATGAGACATAATAAATCCATCGACCAGCGCGATTAATTTCTGCTAATTGATCACTTGTATAGTTTATTGGTGGTGTTGTACCATAATTTTCAAATGCCAAAAATATTGATGACAAAGGGATGCCATTTGCATCAATGTACCACCAAAAAACAACAGAAAAATGATGTGCATTCAATATTATCAAGCATATACATGAAATAAGAGTTTTCAGTTTAACAAATGATGTTTATTTCGAATAGCTGGTGGGCGTTTCACTATATCTTTTTCAGCCTTTTCGCTAACCATTGCCAACGACATAAACACTTCTAAAACGATTACGTTATGGGAATATGTTTTTCATTTAAATCCAGTAGAACATACCATTCAGCATACAAAAAACAGTTGCAAGAAATGCTGATAATGCTAAAGATGCTCCTAACCATATGTTAAAAAGTACAGAAATAACTTCGGCAAATGAACCTGAAATGAATACAGTAACATGAAAGTCCATACACTATAAGACACTAATATTTACCTCCAGGAATAAGATAGACAGCTACTTTCTTGAGATTATCACTTAATAATCTTCCTGTTTCAATTGCCTGTATGATTGACGAGAAGTTGTTATCTAACAGAATCAAATCACTTGATTCTTTTGAAACATCCGTTCCAGCTTGTATAGCTATACCGAGATCAGCTTTTTTTAAAGCTGGCGAATCATTTGTACCATCACCTATAACGGCTACAATTTCACCACGTCGTTGACACTGCATAACAATTTGAAATTCACGTTCTGGCGATGTTCGTGCAAACACAAGCTCTTGATGACTCAATATCCAGTCCCATATGTAATCATCCATTAATGGAATATCACCACCTTTTACCACAACCCCATATGGAATAATGATTTGTTTATCACGATTTATTGTTACATCTGGATCACCAAAATATGAACTAACTGTACTACAACATTTTTTCAGAGCATTCGTATCACGTGGTTTATTGATGGCTGATGATGGTACAACTTTATTAGTTTTGGGAATGTGATGATTACTATGCTAAACATCTAAATCTAATTTTGTGATTTTACTAAGGATATGTGTATCATTATTGCACTATTTCTTAGTAATTGTACAGCAGATACATCATGTTCATCTAATCTGAATCAAGGCCATTTTGGATACTTATTTCTTCATTAATATATTCACTTGTTTAGCAACTGAAACAGTTGTTGTTGAAATAGTCACCTGTGACTAACAACAATTGGTTATTCCACCTGGTATAGGTTTTCACTCGTTCTCGCATTTTGTTCTCAAGACTAACATTGTCACGAGATTCAGCATAGTCGATAACCCATGTTTTCATTCATTTCTGCCAGTCCCAAACCTAACGCCAGAGGAGTCAGTCCTAAGGCTTCGGAAAAACGTCCATAGCTCTCGAACCATGGGTTTTCGAGATGTCGCTTAGATCCCGTTTTGTAAAAAACACGTCGGACTATATATCTATCGAAAAACACGACCTATTTCTATGTCAGTTTACGGAGACCCAAACTGATTTTCTAAAGATACTCTGAAAAAGCCACTTCAGAATATTTTCCGAAATTTGTTTTTGCTTACAGAAATATGTGGTTAGGTCTCTCTCTAGCTTCTATCAAAAGTTATTCAAAAATGGCCAAGTGCACTGGGCTTTTTTACGGACAATAGTTTCTATTACAAATGAACTTTCTTTCGCTAAATCGTTGAAGAAATGACAGGAAAATATTTCTTTCTATTTTCTGATGTGATTGTGCTCTCTATGTTTTAGAGAGAAAAGAGAACGTTTGGCGGAGAAAATAAAAAATGTTCCCCATTTTTTCTTTTCCATTTTCACACAGAAAAATGATGATGAACTTAGTGAACGCTTTTATGCTGTCGTCATTATTCGTTCTTGTTTTTAATCAGTTCTTGAGAAAAAAAACGTTCTACGACTATCTGTTGTAGAATGAATGACGAAAGAGAGAGAGAATATGCTGCCTAAAGTTGAATGCATTTCATGAATTCACCATTCACGGTCGAAATCAAATAGTTTAACTTTCTTTCAATCGGCCGTTTCTCAAGCCTGACAGAAGTATACATACTGACTATATGACTTGTATTTCTTACTACTTTTTTTCAATATTACTGTTTTACCAAAATATTTTATCTGTAGATGTACTTGTGGTATAGCATAAGTCTAACGAAGAAGAAAGTAAATGGTTCAAAAAGGTAGATTTTTTAAAATCCCACGGTAACTAAAAATGTTATATCTCTATCAACTTGAATTCAAACAAGATCCCACTCACACAAAAACATTCTAATATTGCCTGCTACTCAACCTGAAATTTTAGTGGCAACGATCGTTGAAGCCACCCAAAAGTCTACTCTAATTTTGATAATAAAAAATTCGTAACTCCTCATAGACAATTTTGTTTGCGACTAAAATTTCAGGTTGTGTAGCAGGCAAATATAAAATGTTTTTGTGTAGTTTGTTTAAATTCCAGTTGATGGAGATACATTTTTGATTGCCGTGGGGTTTTAAAAAAATCTACTTTTTTGAACTGTTTACTTTCTTCTTAGACTTATGCTATACCACAACTACATCTACAGATGCACAATGATCTGCTCTATCCAACGGTGAAACGAGTTTTTCAGAAAGTTGCAAGGCTATTGAGGAAAAACTTTGATTGGGAAGGTATCACATCGGTACCCATCGAACAAACGTTTTAGTTTTCTCAACAACCATACAGCAGCAAACCCTAGAAACTATCCGGGCATATGCACCTTCTAATTCTCTACTTTACCCTATAAGGCCAAATCAAAACGCAAAGATTTTTGAAAACTGGTGGTATCCTTAGAACTGTGATGAGATGGTATAGATTAACAGAATGATGAAAAGAACGCACTGAATCGTTGCAGCATGCTGTATACTGTACTGTTAATTTTACTTATAGAGTATTAAATCTATAGCCATTGATCAAAGATACTGTTTTTCTAGAATAATAATCGATTTTAACATTATTCCCGTATATAACCAGTCAAATTTGACAACTAAAATAGATACATGTCGTCCGATGTTGAATTATGCAAATAACATTATTACCAATAATCTGCAAATCTTAAACTATTGGTTTCATATTCAAAATGGTATGTACAAGAGAAAAATGAAGATGAAAACATTATCAAAAAAGTTTGCGTACAATAAGTTCAAGTTGACAAGCAAAATCATTCGTTATGTTGAGAAATTACAAGAACATTTGGAAAAACGTGTAAAAATCATTATCTTGAATGAAGAAAATGAATATACAGTTGACGGTGTCACTCATAATCTCGATGGTTTTTATGCAAAAACATTGACGTTGAAAATGAACGATGATAAGCATCGAACATTGAAAGAAATATTGATGAGAAAAACAGGCAGTTATTACACACATATTCTCGTCTTTAATTACTCTTTATTTTCTGGTCAGTTTTCAACCGATGCTAAACGGTCGTTTTTTCTCTCTGCTGTATTGTTTTACCAGCTAACACGTACAATGACAACAAAATCAATTCGAGTGAAATATATTCTACGATGTGAACTTCCTGAATTAAAAAAATATACAATACCCATTGACGACATATTCTTGTATGCTAGTATATTTCCTGCACCTTATTATGATTGTGGAAATATGTTTCAACATTTATTTTATATGAGTGAAGTACATCTAGATGTTGGTAATGATGAAACAATGATGAATGAACTCATACTCATCAAACCATCAGGCAAACCAAAATGGATTGAAGACGATTTATTTCGACAATTTGAAAAAAATAATTATGATTTAGCAGTAATAAGAGATTTTATGATGGCATGCGATGTTTATCATCCATATAGCGATCAGCTTATAATCTTAACCGACGTATGCTATATCTATCAACCATCAACTAGATATAAGTCATTTAGAATGCATTATTCGAATGAAGTAATACCGTTAAAACATGGTTATTCGCTCGGTATGTCTGCTCAAGCAGCGTTTGTTAAGGAACTATCAACAACTCCTCCTTTTTTGAAAGAACGTAAGCATTTATTAAGAAAAACAAATGTTATTTAAACGGTTTTATTATTATGCGTTTCTTGGTGGCTGCTGTTTCGGATACAGACTAAATGTATCATTGCTCATCTGGATATAGAAATCAACCGCTACTATCAAAGAGTAAGGTAGGTATCTGTACAGGAAGTTGAAAAGAACAAGTTTTAGAATCATTTTTTCATATCTCAATCTGTTTAAGAGATCTCCGTCTTTTTCTGTAATAACTATTCATTAATTTTGTCATTTTCTGTGAAATACGATGTTGTCCTTCGACCACATGTATTTTTATCGATGATGAGAGCGAAGTATCTGAGAATTATAGTCGTATGATGTTTAACAAGTTAGGAATCTAAAAGTCTGTTTCACTAGTTACTAAAGGAAATTCTTTTACTTTTCGACTATAATTCCTGAAGTAGAAGTCTTTTACTCAAGTTTTTAGCGAGACAAGAGAAAAAACTGAGATGCTTTGAAAATCATACAAAGTTAGCGAACCTGTCTTGTTTAAGTATTGCATCATTTTCTTTATTCACACTATGTTACAAATAAATTTTGTCAGTTTAACTACTTGTCAAAACAATAACTGATATTTCGAGTTTAAGGTATATAAGAGAAAGAAGAAAATATATATATGACACGTATATAAAAATAATATTTCATAACAAAAACATGTCTTATTCTAATGGTTGTTCAAATCCAAATAATATATGGAATCGCTTTCGTTTTAGCATTTGTTTAGCGCTTTGTTTAAACGGATCAAGATTATAATCGCCATTTTCCAAATTGATTAACAGCGCTGAAATATCGACTGACCATCCTCGTACTTTGAATTCAATGTCATCTGAATGTGCTTTCATAGTTATTTGTCCTTTCATAAACATTTTCTCAAATATGAAACCGCCTTCGTGCCCACTTTCTGTCGGCATCCTCCAATAGCCATTCGATAGTGTTGTTACTGGTTTTAGGGCATGTACACATTCATGTAAAATAGTGATTGCGCCGAGAAATATCATTTGAACGTGATCGGTGACATCGAATATGATAGGATTTAGGAGTGTCACAATTCATCCACCGTCACCAAAACGAAGTGTTTTTTCATATTCGATATCTGGACGATCAGATATTGCCAATGTTTGGCGGTCAGTTTGATAACTTTTAGTTACTTTCAATTGGATAGAGTATATTTTTTCTTTGAGCACGTTAATATCATATTGGGATATAGGAGCGAATAATAACCGTCGAATTTGTGATTTTGTGGCAAAAAACCGAGGACTTTGCACATATACACCTTTGGCAACGTTTCCCGAATATTTAATCATTCCTTCATTCGAAAGGAGTAACTGATTACTGAGTGTAATCATTTCTTTTAGCAGGGATTGTTGCCTACTTTGCACTGCGGCATTTCCTGTGTTATATTCAATATTTTTGAAGTCAATAATTGTTTCAACCTAAATTTAGAAATAAGAAAATAATACATGCTGAAACTGGTGTTTCAGCAGAAACAGTCTTACAATATTGTATGAATAGTCAACAAGTTTATAGATCAAACATTTCTGTTTCCTCACATAATCAAAATCTTCTCTTACTTCAGCTTTGGTGATAATGAAAGTATTTTAGACAATACACGTATTTTTGGAAATTTTGACTTTTGAAAAATATCAAGTTTCTAACCGGTATGGGAAGCTCTGTAAGTAAGCAATGAGTCAAATCTTTCCATTTTTTAGATTCTATCCCTTGTGGAGTTTAGATGTAGACTATATTTTACCGTGTTTTATTGTGATTGTTATTGTCACGAATGGTACTTATTATTGTGCTTGTTATATTATTTAATTTGAGTATAGAATTAGTTCGATCCAAACCTTATATAGTTATTTACTCATTAAAGGATTAGTTAATGATTACAAGCCAAGTATTGACTGCGTGAAATACTTTTAAGTACCGCGCAGATTAGACTCAGTCCAAGTTTCCTAATCAATCATCAATTATTATGTTTACATTTTTGTTTTAGCTTGGCATATCATCATTTAATATCGAGCATGTTTTGAAAACACATTGCTTAAGAAAAATACTTATAACGAGTCATATTTTAATTTTTATTATTAGAAAAAATGTATTTGGGCTCGAAAATATAATTTCCTAAACATGTCGGCTGTTTTTCATACTATAACTTCATTATTTTCCCAATCGATTCTCATTCTCAAGAAAATATTGCATAATACAGACTGAACATGTTATTTAATTCGTTTGCTTGCTACTAATACTTAGAATTAGATTATGACTAGAACATGATCAAAGTTATATAGAGTGTAGTTTATCGTTTTTAGCAATTAAGTGAGTTTTTAATCAATTTGAGTGTGAAAATCTATCAGCCGAAATTAAGGTTGAGAATAAGTTTAAACTGAAAAACTAATATTCCTTGGAAATTAAATTTCCGATTGCATCTAACAGTGCGTCATAGATAGATTTCTTTCGTTTTCGAGTTGGTTTAACCGATTCAATGATTATTTAAAAACATACAAGCTTGTTACCCAGTCATTCTGTCTCTGGGATGCTATACGAGAAACATTCGTAGACAAAAGTTTTTTGAAATTTCTGATAACAATTTTATCCGATTCTTAGCAGATTCTTATATAAAAAGTGACAGTAAAGTTGCACATTTCGTAAGAATCAGATAAGAGTCGAGTAAGTATCATATAAGATTTTCACAAGATGGCGATAAGAATCGTGACAAAATTGTTATTAGTATCAGATTCTTACAAGCTTTTTGCAATTGTCTGTTCATTTCGTTAAGCCAAAGAATTTTACAACGCAGTCTCGTGTCACTCTTATCACTTTCTTATGAAAGTCTTATAGGATGGTTATCGGATACTTACGAAATTCGTGCAACTTTCGTGCCACTTCTTATATAAGAATCTGGTTAGTAAAAGCAGATAAGAAACTGGCAAGGTCCTTGCTAGATCCGATTCTTATATTAGAACTGATGTCTAGGGATCTGTCCATTTTTTTCTTGCATTTTTCTTCTCCACTATACCTTTACTGTTTATTTAGCTTTCTTAATATTTTTAACAAAATACATTTCCTTTTTTTCCTTTGGTATGTGGGCTGTGTGTGTTTCTCATATAGTGATATGAATGCACTTCAGATATAGATGAACTCCGTTGAAATTCAGTACATGAAATTTTAAAATTCAAGCCGAAAAATTAAAAGAACTCATTTGCAAAAGAGGATTTCTATTGGCAAAAAGCAGTTACAGAGATATTTTATGATATTACTAATTGACGTCAGCATTTTTGAAGCGTAGCATGACGATATCATCGAATATCTCTGTAACTGCTTTTTACCAATAGAAATCCTCTTTTGCAAATGAGTTCTTTTAATTTTTCGGCTTGAATTTTAAAATTTCATTCATTGAATTTCAACTGAGTTCACCTGTTTGTATCACTATAGCAGATGCACCTCTCGTACAATCCACATACTATTTTTATTTTAACTAGTGTGAAATATACGAGAGTGTAGGATCTGTGCGCGCATACAAGTTATAATGGGTGTAAACGCTTCGATTAGTTGTCTAAATAAATATATTTAAATTAAATATTGTTACAAACAGTTAAAGCGCTTGTTTTTTACATGTGAAGTTTTCAACAAGAAAGATGAAGAAACCAAAATGAAGAAGGTTGACGATCTTCTCGAGGAAACGAGGAATTTAAGCAGAATACCGAATAAGATGACTACATCAGAGAATGTCCAGGTTGTCTGATCAGGGAAATAGTGTCAAGACTTATTTATGTACTGTAATCTGTTTCCTATTATTTTTTTATTATGAGACTTGAAGAATAGACCAAGAAAGTCTCCAGACCAAGTAAGATCATTATATGTCTCTCACGGGAAACAGTACAAAATATAAATAACTGTGAAAACACCAAAGGTCGATCAAAGGGTGGATTGTTCTCGTTCTTTAATCTTTGAAGATCGTGATGTTACGGCATACAACAGAACAGACAGCCAAAACGAATGAAAGTTGTCTTCGTTTTTTTTGCTAAATAAATAAAGAAAACACGAAAGTGTTTTTCATCTGTCAGGATTCCCTTCTTGGATCAAAACTTATTTTCCAGATAAAGGACGATCAACTCAATATTAAGAATAAACAATTCACTAAATCTCAATAACTGAACGAGTTAACAGTTACGAGAAGATTTTTTTTAGCTTTATTAGATAAACAGAAAGTAACACAGACGTTTTACTAGCTAGACTAGAAGACTCCTTGTAATATCTGTGACAAGACTGTTTCTTACTAATTAGAGTTATTCCATGGCAAACAATTTCTTCTCAAATAAAAAGATCTTACCATATTCAATTGCATTGTTGTATTTGTTTAGAATGTATTAAAAATAATATACAAAAGCAGCAGATTAAGTTTCTCACCAAATGTTAGACAATTTTACTTTTTATTACTAGAAGATATACCCGATGAATGATTTCGTCTAGGCGAAATATGTATTTATTTTCGATTCTATTCTTTTACTGTGAATAACTATTATGCACTGGCTACACTTAATAAGATGTACACTTGCCGAAATGACCAAGATTATTTATGCATTGTTTTCAGTTATAATTTCCATTCAAGGCAGTTTAGAAAAGTGGTCAGTTGAATACTGATCTGGAAGATTGAATAAACAAAGGGGCTATACGCAGATACAGGATCTAGTGTTACAGTGCTATGCAAGAAAAAAATCAATCTTCGAAATTTTCTTCATAATTTTACTTTATTTTATTATTTCTAATCCGTTTTTCATAGACAAAACACGTTATTAACCAGGACCGCAGAGCCCACTCTTGTCTACACAGTGCTGTAAAAAATTCATGAAAATCCATGTTAGTTTTCCGGACTTAGTCAAATAGGATTGGAGCAGTTTTGATTGATTCGTCTTTCCTCCACACAGGATAAAAGGACTCATCTCATTCAAATACATGGACATTTTTAAATGAATTTTAGCTCGTTAATAATAAGTGCTAATTAATCAAACATTATACCATCAGCTCTACTCTCCCTCTATCTGACAATATGAATTTGATCTTCAAACTACCACCTTCATTAAGCTGATTAGCCCACAATAAATTGTGTAATTTCTTAAATATTTTTCTTTGTCAGAAAAGAGTCACTCATTCATTTTAAACAAGCAAAAAAATCAATTCATTGAAATACATGGAGTTTTCAAAGCAGGACTTCTATTGGTCTCCAGAAACAGATTTCAACACTCCTCTAAGTGTGAAAGTTCTTCAGCAGATCATCATCACGAACATCATAGAGTAAAGTGTCCTCTACAAAATGAAATCACTCCCAGCTCTCCAAGACCTTCCGTTGCGGAAATATGAGTTTTTTAAAGTTTTTTAAGGCCTCCGTAATTCAAAACTTCCACACTACTTTTTTTTCTTAATAATTTACGTATAGTTAGATAGAACTCGTCGACATGATTCTGAATATATGTATCTGAGCCTTTGGAATTACTTCTGGAGAGAAAAATCTGCAAGAAACGTTTTTTACTTTTACGATAGAATTGAGTTTTTGAACTCCCATTATGTGTTTGTGGAAAAATCATAGTTGTGAAAAACTGCTGAAATACACATCAATCAACTCAGTTTTTGATGCTGATTCCAACTATTACATTGGTTTCGCAAAAAAGGGAAGCTTGACGGTGAAAACTCTCCAGAAGTAATTCCAAAGTCTGAAACATTCTATCTAACCATGTGTAGATTGTCGAGAGAAAAAATGGTATGGAAGTTTTGAATTGTGGGCGCCTTACTTTACGCTGAAAAAACCCTATTTTTTTACTTTTGAAACCTATTTCTCTTCTTTTGTGTACTTGATAAACTTTGAAACAGTCAGTCTTGTAGAGTAAAGATCTCTCTACAAAATGAGATTTTTCCCAGCTCTCCATCATGTTTTCTCATACAGTCATAATCATTTCGGACGTTATATCGCAAACGTGACTTTTTCAAAGACTTTCAGCAAAAT